CAAAAATTGCTCTAAAAAAAAAATTTGAAAGATAATCACAAGCCAAAAACGTACATTTGAAAGAATATGTACCTTCACAATTAAAAAAAAAAAACAAATAAGAAATGTCAAAGTTAAATGTCAGAGATAACAGCCATCAAACTTAGTACTTAAGGAAATTGGACGTTCCATACTTAATAATCTAATATTTAAATGTGGCATTATGTGGTTTTACTTTCATACCAGTGCCTAGTGTACTGCATGGCACATAGTAGGTGCTTAATAAAATAAATATATTGGACAATATAAGTGTATTTTTATTAAAATACATGGGATGAGGTATATGGGACAAAATACAGGATGAAAACTTCATTTTCTCTTTCTCGGAATACTGGGTAGCTCATGTTTTAAGCTCAAAGTAGAATGTATTATTTCTTTACAAAATTGCACTTACTTTTACTAACTCAAAGCTTTCCTTTTAGGGGGCAACAGTAGCAGAAATTAAGAAACAGTATCGTTTGCTGTCACTTAAATATCATCCAGATAAAGGAGGTGATGAAGTCATGTTCATGAGGATAGCAAAAGCTTATGCAGCGTAAGTATCATAGGACCTATTACAAATTTTTAAGAGTGGTAAAGATGGTTTTCTATTTTAATAAAATAGTAAAAAGTTGTCATATACTTAAACTGAACTCATATGTTGAGTCTTATCATTTATGGGACTACCCAGCAGCTCTAAAGTGATAATTTAATTAAACCTTCATTTTTAAGTAATGAAGAGTTGACACTTAGGGTAGTGCTTTTGCCATGTGAACTTGGTTAAATTAAGTAGTGAGTGATAAGTAAATTGAGCTATTTTATTAGCATCCTGATTACGAGAACTTAGACTTTGTTTTTATTTATAGATTTTTTATTAGTTTTGATCTGTTTTTCTTATTTTGCCATATGGCTTATCTCATTTAAACTGTTTAAAGACAAATTTAATTCTTACTTTTAAGTTCCTCATTTTTGGTCTCTTTTTCATTTTAGAATTTCTTTATGCTAGATTATTCCTAGTTACTATATTGTTATTACTATACTTGTTGAGATGTAGATTGTTAAGTTCTCCTTTTTTAATGCTCAGAAACTTTTTCTTCAAGAATCTTTTCAGAGGGCC